TTTCAGTCAAGAAATTTTCATTTTCTGAGCATCTATTTCAAAAACTGTTACCTTTATTTCTAGATTGAAGCTCATTAAAAGAAGTACAGAAATTCTGTTGAAAGTGTGGATTCTAAACTTTTTTCTCACCTCTCTTTTTCCCTTGAATTAAACAGGCTGGTTTTGTTACCGCACCCTTTGGATGGTTATATGGAAATGGTTTTTGCTCTGGCTCGTTTAAAAAGCAGTCTAGGCTGAAACGTACAATGCTCAAAATTTTGCTTCCTAACAGTCAAGAGCAGCACAGTATTTAATCATTTCCCACACATCTTTCACTCCAATAACTCTGCTACAGACTGTCTGCAGTAACAACACTCTATACCACTATAATGGGCTGAATGCACAGTCATATGTAAAAACATTCACGGAAATTGCATTACAACTATGATTCCATATATGCACTGTGAGAACTGAGGAGTGAGTGAATATTACATTTTGAAACCTTAACAATGTTTACATAATACAAAAACTCTTATTTTAAAAAGCTAGTGAAAAAAAGGTTTCCATGATAAAGGCCCTTTAAGTTATTCAGTTCACAAAAACATCCTGCTCTGCAAATAACCTCACTGAACTTGCAATCTGACAGGCTTTATTACTACCATCGCTGCTTCCACTCTCAACACGAAAACAATACTTCCTACGAATCTATCCAGCTCCAAGCGTTCAATAATTACGGGCAGCTGTCAGCACTGACCGGTTCAGATCACCTTTTCTGATGATAAAGGTGATGAAAAAGGTGAAGGAAACACTTATTTACAAGCCCAGTCATCAGCAGAGTGCTAAGGAGCGGCCCGTCTGACACACAACCATCGCTTCCACCCGCAAAGCCTTCCTCGATGGTTAGAAAGATGACAAGAAACCTGCAATCCATCTCCTGCCGTCTCAGACTAATGAGCCCTCATCTTCACAAGCCTGGCAGTACCGATGCGCTCAAAAAATAACAATTCCCTCAGCAGGTGTGGTGGACGCTGCCTTTTAACCGTCCACAGATGTGCACTTTGAAATGCCTCTTCCTACATTTTGTTTATTTTAATCCTGCTTTATTTGCACAGTACAACACAGATTATTTATAGGTGCTTAAATTATTAACAAACTACTCGGTGAAACTCATTTTCAGAAACATCAGGGTTAAATTTAAGATGAATTTAGAAAGATACATAGTTGAAAGGCAAGTTCAGTATTTGTGATGCACCAAAATTTCGGCCTCTGAAACCTTTCGGCCGAAGTGTCAAAAACACTTAATCTGAACGGAAACGAAAAAGAGAAACAATGATTAAAAATTCTGTTCCTTTTGCTCTTGTGACTACAAACGTGCATCCATAACTATTATTATTATTATTATTATTAGTGTTGTTTTACAACACATTTAGTTCTTTAAACTATTTTATTTTATTTAGCAAGCTGTTTAAGTTTAAATTAGTCCTCTAGTTCCCTGTCAATTCTCTTCCCAACAGTCAACTAATGCCCCTAGACCATCATCTACATTATTTCATTGCTTTAAATGCATAAATACAGTGGCAAATTAATTCAAATATAAAAGAACTTTGGTTTTGGTTTCATGTCCTGAATTTTGGTTTTGGTTTCAGTCAAGAATTTATCATTTTCTGAGCATCTATTTCAAATCATCCAAATAAATTGTTACCTTTACTTCTAGCTTGCAGCTCATTAAAAGAAGTACAGAAATTCTGTTGAAAGTGTGGATTCTATACTTTCAATCAATGCAGCAGAATGTCCTTTCTTCTGTTCTCCAGAGGCCTTTTATTATAGGCTTTAGATCTAGCTACAATGACCATACCGATTTAAAATAAAGTTGCTCCGATAAGGCAACTGTGAGCCAAAGCCGACATCTGATATTTTCCATGTACATCTCCCTGCCGATGCCAATGCCAATGCCAAATGTTGAAACTGGGACTACATCTTCCTGGAGTAGCATTACAGAGAAATATTACATTTATAGGGTTACAAAAGCAGTAATAAAAAATAAAACACAGACATTTCAATATGATAGCCCAGAGTCTCCTCAACATTCTGCTCTTCTGGAGTACAATACATACAACATCAAATATCGATTTGAAATACTGGTAGTTTAAACATCTGTCCGATGCTGCTATCTGCAATTACCTGCCAATACCAATATGATTCTGATATCATGACGCATCACAATTTAAAAAGTCACAGTTACTCTAGAAATAAAAAAGTGTGGTGTAATTTTAAAACATGAAAAAGTGTGGGTTCTAAAAGAGATGATTAATGAAAACAAACATTAAAACAAGAATTGCAGACTTCAACCTGCTAAACCTGAATGCAAGTCAACTGTAACTATCTATTAACCATCTAATAACTATCTAATAATAAACTATGTAATCTATTAACTAATTAACTACACAATTAGATACAAGTAATTATGTAAAGCAAATTTAAAGCACAGTAAAGTGACTATAATAACTCTAGACTTTCAAGAACAAAATATAATTACATTTGGAAGGGAACCGGGGCATAAGCAGTTTGACAACAGTTAATCAAAGACTTGGGCCCTGAAATCTCATATACATATGTATGTATATATAGAACATCAAATGAACATGGAATATGACCAGGGGCACCCATAAGACTGTATTTAGGAGTAGTAGGAGCTTGCAGACTCCTAAAGTTTAACACTGACCAAGGATCAGGGTCCTAAAACAGCATTAGCCAGACAGCAATGGCACTTGTCAGCCAGTGGGTGGCAGTGTGGGTACATGGCATTTCCATGCACTTTCCCCTCTCTCTAGTAAGCATACCAGGACTGCACGCTTGCAGGGGCAGTTGTCTTTCCCCATTGCATTCGGAGGCATTTTTTCCCTTTTTTTATTGCTTTCCATTTATATAAGTGGGTCAGTTGCACATCAGAGAGCTTCCCACTCCAAATCTATTTCTCTGCCCCTCCCACGTGAGAGAGAGGGAGAAATGTAATCGTAGTCCATTATGTTTACATGTCACAGGGGTCAGGTTGTGCTCCGTCTGTGCAAGAGAGCGCTCAGAAACACTGCGGCACTCTCCGCACTGCAGATAACACACACGCACATATATTTCTCCCTTTTTTTTTAACTTGAACGATACTAACGGGGGCCACTTCTGGTGGGGTTTTCAATTTCGCCAAGGTTACTCTGAAAATTGGTCCGAGCCTTGCTCATTCAGAATAAATAACGCAGCGTTGGCTGATGTAGCGGGTCAAAGCGAGCCAGTTATTTGCTTAGAAAGCCTCATAACGTACGCCGCCCATTTGCAGGCAGAAAACACAAACCTTATTACTTGTGGTTCTATATGCAGATAGCTAGGAAAGATATTCATCTTCCTCTAATAAAGACACAAGATGGTGACCGTTTGGCCCTGGGAAACATTTATGCACCCTTTTCTTTGTTAATTCATTGTTGTGTTCTGATTGAAATTCCTCAAACTAACAGCTCCACACAGGAATGCGATGCTCTTGTGCTGGCAGAGAAATAAAGCTACACACTATCTATGAAAAATATCACGCACAAGATAAAAAAACAAACTTATCAACAATGTTTGACTTCAAGGACAGGAATGACAGACAAGCGCTAAGCACTGTTATGTCCTTACATGTACACTCAAAAGCATGGCTTCAAGACTAACTTTCTGCAGAACTGGCCCAAAAAATATAGTCAGTCTTCCCCTTTCCCAAAGGGAAAACTGACTGTTCAAAATATTACACCGCTTTGTTTACATTCCATTTTTGTACTAACATATTACCAATTCCACCACTGGGATAGGCTCCAGCTCCCCCCGCATCCCAGAAGGATAAGCGGCTTAGAAAGTGTGTGTGTATTACAGATTCCCCCAAATGACAAATGTCAGATAGCAACGCACAGAATACATGCTTAACTCACATGGATACACACAATGCATACACATTTATGATCCATAAATTAATTATCTAAGCATATCTATGCAATATCTATGAGAGTAAGTGTATCATAAGCTCTGTAACTTAATATGTAATGTTTTAAACATCACTTTATTCTTTGTAATGAACTGCATTCTTGAAATGCAAAACAATCTCTGTAAACTCAGATTGTGTTCAGGTTTTCATGTAATAACTCTTAAAATTGTTACATATTAATACCAAAATGCTGCTGCTCTTTAGAACCAGCCTGCTTTGTAATGGGCATTACAAATAGCTTGTAAACATTAATTAAAGACGGTTTTTGGATTGAACATTGCTTTATTTAGAGTGGGCATAGATGGCAGGTAGGCTCATGTTTTTATGACTATGTTTTATGTGTAATGGTCTCCAAGTATTATTATCCCATTAACACAATTATTAACCCCATAACTTGTCAGATGCCGTTAATGCATTGTTCTAGTTTGACCCTTCGAACCATACACTGTTCCAACATGAGGCCTACTGCTTGTGTGCTGTTGCTATGACTGTGACTGAAGGATCTCATTCAAATACAGCATTTAAATGGCAAGAACGTCCACTGATGGGTCTCCTGATGAAACCAAAGTTATTTAGAGCTACTGCCATAGTGTGAATTTGTTGATCACCAAAGGAGGTTGAGTCTTAAGTAAGAAAAACACAGCACTGGTACCAGTGTCTGCCCTGCGACGGAATGGTGACCTGTCCAGGGTGTATCCTGCCTTCCACCCAATGACTGCTGGGATAGGCTCAAGCTACCCCGTGACCCAGAAGGATAAGCGGCTTAGAACATGTGTGTGTGGTACCAGCAATATCAGTGCTATCAGTAACGTTAATTAAAATGAATAATTATGTAATGTAAATCAAATGTATAGCCAAACAATAACACCTCTAGACGTCTGGAGCTTAACACTAGCTTGGAACTAGTTTGAACATAAATGTAATCCATTATGTAACTAAGTAACATATTTTGTAAATTATGTAATCACTTCTAAACGTGATGGAAAAATAACTGATAGAATTCTAAGGGTAACCTTACCGATCTGAGAGTTTCTTGGCAAAGCCGAAGTCTGTGAGGCGGATGTGTCCTTCACTGTCCAGCAAAATGTTCTCGGGTTTCAGGTCCCTGTAGACGATCTCTTTGGAGTGCAGGTACTCAATTGCACACACTATTTCTGCAGAGTAGAAGAGGCCTGTGCTGTTGCTGAATCGGCCACGGCTGCGCAGGTAGCTGAACAGCTCACCGCCTGGTACGTAGTCCATCAGCATGTACAGGAAGCGTTCGTCATGGTGAGTCCAAAACCTGCAGACAGTCCCTTTCTTTAGATGTCTTATGCCAACCAGAAAGCAGCACCGTCTATAACTTGTGAACAGTTAATGTTTGCTAATGTATGCAGCGAAGGGTAGCAAATTAAAGCAAAAACTAACAAAGTATTACAGTAAGGTGTTGGACCACCACAAGCTACTAGAATCACATCAGTGTGCCTGGGCATAGGTTTCACAAGTCTCTGGAGAGCGCTGTTTAAAGGCCTAAAACATATCTAGAACACGTGCAGGCACTGTGCGCCAAACATTTAAATAGGTGCACTTGCATGTAACTTGAACGTGTGCACTAAGGCGCAGTGTCCAAACCTCTCTCTTTTTCCTCTGTTTTTGATATTTTGAACATCTTCTCAACCTGATACATTTTGATTTAGTGCTACTGGATAGCCAATCACTGACCTAACGCATAGCTCCAAGTAGTTGTGATTTTAGAGGTGTGCACACTGTGGCCTCTATGAGCAATGCTTACCCACAATCTCTTCTGTGCCTGGAGGCATAAACCAGTCTTACTAGGTTTTTCACAAATTGTTCCACAGATGTTCAACTGGGTTGAGATCTGGTAACTGTGCCCACAGTAGCATATGATTTGCATCATTTTCATACTCATCAAACCATTGAGTGACCTCTTGCACTCTGTGAAATTGCATTCACTGGAGTGATGAAGCACCATCCAAAACCTTTGGGGTGAGGTGGACTGCCATTTGTGATCCAGAACTAATCATCCAACATCAGCACCTGACCTCACTAACGCTGTTGTGTTTAAATGCAATCAACTCCTCATAGCAACGTTCCAACATCAAGTGTAAACGTCCATCATCTTGTTAGAAGATTAGAGGCTATTACTGCACCAAAAAGGGTTACTCACTGTAATCTTAATGTAGTGTTGCACACTTTGTCAAACCGATCATTCGTTATAAAGTGTTCATAAAGTAACCTTAAATGTAAGTATGAAGTTTGACTGAACTCATCAAGCAAAAACTGCCTCAGATAAAAGACCTATAAAAGAAATCTTCTTTGGCTAGATGTGTATTAGGATCAGTTTTGGTTGTATATTAACACAGAATCAGTGGCTGCTATTTGAGGGGAAAAAAGTTATGAATGTAACTGACTTTCAAAGTGATTTCAAGGAGGGGATTGGTTGATAACTGGCTGCAAGCCTAGTTATTAACATGTCAACTGAAGCTGAAGCAATTACCAATATTAAAATCAAGCTGTTTGGCCAGTGGGTGTCCTTTTCCGCTCCTTTTCCCCGCAGACTGGCCAATTTACTTAATGATGGTACAAGGGGTTGATCCATAACTCAAATATAGGAGATTGTGTGCCCTTACCTGTGGGCAGTCAGTGGGCAAGCTCATAAAAACCTTTAATATAGTTAAGATTACAGGCAAAAACCTGAGGACCTACTGGACAAACATAATATGTGATGTAAGATATTTCCTGCTGTTTTCTCTGCGTGTCTGAAACCTAAATAAGAAAACACAGTGGGATGGGTGGTTGCCAGTTCAGGAAGGAACCCACTCACAGCGTGATGAGGAAGGGATGGTTCACCTCCGTTAGAACTTCCTTCTCATTATGAACGTGCTGCTCCTGCTTTAATCGGATCACATCTGGAATCTTCATGGCTTTCAGGGCAAAGAAACCCCTCGTCTTCTTGTCCTTCACCAGAAAAACTCTGCCAAACGTTCCTGTACCTGTTAAAACGGGGCAGGAGAACAAGACATGAGAAGTGCCATTTGTCTAATAACCCATGTGCCCTATTAATCCTATCTTACCCAACGTCTTGCTGACGTTACGTTCAGAGACTTTTGCTCATTGGAATCTGCACCCAGAATACCTGAATTGCATGCATGTTCATGTTGGCCATTTCAACAATAGAACACTCAAGGTCGTGTGTTATCGTGAAATAACATCACGGCTGTGATTTTTTGCCGTAGATCATCACAGCCGTGATGTTTTAGCGATAACACACGACCTTGAGTGTTCTATTGCTTTTATACAACAGTTAAATAAATAAAGTAAGAAATTAATAAATTGGGTCGTGAACGTGTCATTTAATATGTTTTAATGTTCGCAATTCCTTCCGCCAAATTATAGTTCCTTAACAAGCAGCTTGTTGCTACTTCGGAGTAACGAGCTCCGCTCACTCCCTGTCATGACACTGAGCAAGCTTTTTTGTTTTTTATTGCGGCGGTTTTATGGCTCAGTCCGATTTGGTCAGACTCTGAAGATGAGACTACACGTTTGGCGAATGGTATTCGGTTTATGTCTGGCTAATTCCAGGTTCTTTAGGTGTTCTTCTGTCACAGCTACTGACTGAAAAGCTTGTTCGATGGAAATGACGGCTGTAGGTCAAACTTAATCTTAAAAGTATCCATTTTCTGTTTGTGCGCAAAGCAAGAAGTAAAAACTTTCAAATGGATTGAGCGTCTCCTACAGCTGTCAAACTCATTGCTTAGCAACGGCGTCTCAGCGGAGTGATACAATGTTTGTGAAAAACCTGTTATGATGTTATGGCAAAATAACAGCACGGTTAGAAAGCCTCTCAACCAATCAGTTTGTGTGGCTGGAACTAACTGTTATCTTAAGTAAAACAAATCAGCATGTGGAATTAGAGCTTTCTGTGTCCTATCATGTATTCTATCACTACATAAAAGAATGATGTAGTTATTGCTGGAAGCCCTGTGATATTGTCTTTGAAAGCATGCACAAACATTCAGAACAGAATTCTGAATTCTTTGTTTTGGGTTTACTATTGATTTGTTTCATCAGATTAACAATAAAAGGTAAATGAACTCTGGATACATTAATACATTTACATTTTGCTTTTTTATGATGCACAAAATAAAAATCTTTTTGACTCTGTTAGATCACATTCTTTGCATATCCAAATACAAAAAGTGTGGAAAATTAAGGATCTTTCAATGTGTTATAACATCCCTATTGGGCATAAAAATTGACCATCCACATTATCTTATTCCCAGCATAAAATCAATAGCTTATCACTAATGGACCTTCTTCTGGTCAGAAAGAAATAACTAAATTCTAATGCTCTGTCTCTTAATCACTAAAGAGGCCCAGACTTACAGACTGCCATGATTACACTTAAAGGAAACAATCAAAAATGCTCAACCATTAGCTAAGTCTCAAACCCAATGAATGATCAAATGTTTCAGACACGAGCAGCAGCTTAAACCACACAGAAACCCCAACGAATAATAGATTCTGTAATGGCAGCACTCAACAGGCTCTTGATGAATCCAAAATGGCTCACTCTTTGTCAGAAAGTGTACTACACGGGGTGTAAAAGCCATTAGCCCTTGCCCTAAAAGTGTGCTATGTGTCAAAGAGGGAATCGTTGCAGAGCTAGCGTCTGTCTTTGGTTTCAATTATCTGCCAGATGTCATTGCAACAAGAGTGTTTAGGCTGAAAAAAATGCATCCATTCTCTTGCTTCTTTCTTGATGTTTCCTCACATGACAACAGACATGGAGAATTTTTTTCTTTCTCCAGCTTGTTTTTGTGCGACCAAAGCTTCATGTTAGATAAGTTAGATACATGTGAAGGATAACCTGGTTAACGATGAAAAAAAGCTAGTGACATCTTTTATCCTATCATTTAAACTTCTTTATTAATTTGATACAAAAAGCGAATAGTGGTAGAGATCAAACAATAAACAAATGCTGCTAAAAACGAGCACAAATGTGTTTGATGATGAGTGATATGTAATAAAATTGAATATGAGCTCTTTTGAAGCGTTACCTGACCATTACGATGGCATGCTTATGGCTACACTAGCAAAAATGAACTATTTAACGATCAAACCATAGAAAGAAAGAAAAATATTCTTACAGTTATGCTTCTAACTGATTATAACACAGTATGATTTCTTGCTTTTATTTTTTAGAGTCACAGAGAGAAATGAGATCTCAAGAAGTAAGCCAGTTGTTTGGTGTTTATGACTCACTGACTGCTTCAGTGTCACTACTTACAAAGTCTTTACAAAGAATTTTCTCGTTTTAGCGTTTTGCGATTATCCTGTAGATAAAGCAGGATGGCTTTGACAATGTTTTACTACAGAAACATGATTTTCTAAAGGTTGAAAAAAGTGTTGCATCTGTGTTCTGCTGAATTTTTGTTAAACTTTAAATGTTGTTTCAATATTTATTCAGAATACGTAAGTGATTAAGAATCAACATTGGATTAGAACACCGATTCAGTTAATGTTGTTAAAGTTAATGTTGACAGCTGAATGTCGACTTAACATGGATTCAACAACTGACTGCTATCTAGGCTTCATTCTATCCCTTTAAAATCATTTTTGGAATGATGAATAAAAGCAAATAGTACTAGATCAAAAAAGCTAAAAGTGCTAGATGAGATCAAACAATGCTAATGTTGTTAACAACTACCTCTACAAGCATTCATTCTATCCCTTTAAAACCTTTTTTGGATTGATGAATAAAAGCCAATAGTGTTAGATGAAAAAAATCTAGACGTGCTAGATGAGATCAAACAACGTCGCTAACAACCAGCTTTACTGGCTTTGCTTCTACTTTTAACTCCTTTTTGTTGCCATATCAGTCACTCTTCACACTTGTGTGTGTGTTTGAGAAAGACAGAGAGACAGAGAGGGATAACAAGAGAGAAAGAGAGAGAGAATGTGAGGGAGCACGAGAAAAAGAAAGAGGAAAGGGTGAGAAAGAGAGAGAGAGAGAGAGAGAGGGAGAGAGAGAGGGAGAGAGAGAGAGAGGGAGAGAGAGAGAGGGAGAGAGAGAGAAGTGAGCACTACTCTGATCAGTGTATGGAGACTAGAACAAAGCCGCTAGCAAGTCCTGCAAAGGGGAACATGGGACCCTGCTAAGTAATAGATCTAACGCTACACACACGATCAATGGCGACAAGGAGGGCTCATCTGCAGAGAGAGCAGGGCACCTTCAGCCACCTCCTAAACTGCATACTGAGCTCTTTCTGAAGCTCAGAGGAACCACACACATTTTAGATTGACCTTATACTAATAAACAGGAGCCATTCTGTATTAACATATAATCACTCGCAATTAAATATTAAATATCATTCGAGTATTGCTCCACTTTGGTTGGTATAGCTGAACACTGTATGTAGCACTGCAACTAGCGATTATTTTCGTTTTAGAATATTCTATGAAATATTAATTTGAATATTAGAATACGAATAAGAAAAGCTAAAGACATGTTTCTTTCCAAACATGATACTTACATCCATAGCTTAACTTCAGCGAGGCTCAAATGCTGAAACTCCGGTTGTGTTGGTAAGTCAGAAACCTGTAGTTCATTAGTTAGTTACTCACTTAGTTAGTTAGACACTAGTTAACACACAATTTATGGATTTGTGGTGCAAATGAATTTAGCAAAACAAAGAGGAGAACCTGCAGTGCCTTCTAGGCCTTCTGAGAAGGCCGAAAGATTTTTGGTAACCAAAAAATGTGTGTCTGTATTTTTTTGTTCATTTTTATTGAAAAGAATCAAAAAGGTGAAATTCTTCAAATACTGAGCTTAAGATTGGCCGGTCTTGGAACTGTTTTCCTTTGTGGTGTCTAGTTAGATATAGTTAAGCAAGCTCTCCTACTCGTTACGACTACAAGAGCTGAAGAGAAGGTCTAACGTGTTAGATGAACGACTGACACAATTTTTAAGTGTCAGTGGAATCCATTACATTTGGATTTCCAGTGGGTGGGTCCAACTTAGTGAGAGAAAACACCCTAGGCCTTCTGGAAGTTCAAGATACGTCACTAACTGTGAATATGAGCAGCAGCCTAACCAGTGGACCTTCGGAAACAGAAACAGCTGCGCAGCTCTACACTTCGCCTCTCTACAAGGTACAATACAGGCTAATACATCTGTCACAAGCTTCAAGTAAAACATGGAATGTTAAGAAGCTTCAAATATCCACATTTAATTTAGAACGGCCAAGAATGCCCATGCTAATCACTGTTAGCTTAGCGCTAACAAACTACTAGAGTCCCACAGGGATGCTAGTAGAAAATAGCATTACTGTAGAAGTGGTTTTTTTCCTCATGTTTTGACAAATTAAAGGCCTAGTTCTAATAGTTACAGTTCACCACTGGTAAAATGGTAAAATGATAGTTTGAAACTAACTAGTGTTAATCAAGACTACACACAAAACTAACTACAAACTTACAGATAAGCGGCGCAACCTAGTTCAGGTGTTTATACTAGAGATGGCTGATAATACTTTTTTTACTTTTTTGTACCACTTTTCTGTTCCAATACTGATACCAATACTTTTTTCTTTAACAACTACTAAACTTCTCAATATTCAAACCGCTCAAACACTTGACTACCTTACACTGTTCTCAAAAAAAGTTCTATATAGTAACAAAAAAGATTTGCTGACTTGTAATAGAGAAACCCTTTCTATGTTTGGTGCTATTTAAAAAAAAAAAAAAAAGTTCTTCAAAGAACCTCATGCATTCAAAAAGTTGTTAACGGTTCTATACAGTATCATTGCTCTCATTAAAGGCCTCTTGAAGGATCACTTTTAAGGGTGTACAGTTAGAAATATACAAACAGCCAACAGCATGATCTGCACAAAACCAGTTTTTGTCTCAATCAGGCTCCATTCAAAGTAAAAGTTTCTAGATAAAATACTGCTCTGTTGTATAACGTAACACGCTGCTAGTACATGTTGATGAT